GTTTAATTTCTTAAATAATAGCTGCAGACAGGAACTGCCAATGGAGTTGAAGATTGAACGATCAATTCTTGGTTGTTTGCTCAAAATCAACTTCTCCGATTTTCGCGGAGGCATCAATACGACAGTCATCGTCTCATCGGTCGCTGTTCAGAAAGAAGAGTGAAACATCGTCAGAAACCTTAGTTTGCTTAGTTCGCTTATTCCTTTTATATGTTGGTGTAACAATACAGAAATATCAAACGGCAGATCGGTGTTTTGGTTTTTGCGTCCGTTATAACTAAGCGTTTCTGAGAAATCTTCAAAGAACAGCGTGGGCCCGAGCGTAGCGAGAGCTGGGCATTAACGGTTTATGAGACGTGATTGACAGTTTCTGACGATAGAAACAGATCTGGCGGATTCAAACAGTTGGTGAAAGTTTGGATAGTCGCCGTTCATCTTTCCTGGTGCCGGTCAAGTCCTCTTTGAACAAGCAATATCTGGAACTTTTTTGGAATTAGGTCAAGTTCAACAATGCCTGGGTCAAAGAAGGGACAGAGTGTCTTGGATGCAAACAGGAAAGTAAGTCATGGTGACTTGTCTGTTAATTGTAACGATGTGTCTGATGTTAAGCATGACATGGTTGATGTTACTGTTTCGCCGTTCAGGGATAATAGGAACATCAAACTCCCTAAATTTGAACCACGGTGTTTTGATGGAAACCCGGCTGATTATTTACAATTTGTAAAGGAGTTTGAGATCATGTTGAGTGGTTTTTTATTAAATGATGAATTGAAGTTAATGTATTTGATGAGATATTGCACTGGAGATGCTGCAAGAGCTATACAGTGCTGTAAGTTTATGAAGCCAAAAGAGGGCTACTACGAGGCTATGAGCATATTACGTCAAAGGTTTGGAAGACCTTCGATGATTGCAGGGAAATTATTCGAGGCTGTTAAGGGTAATGGTGGTCAATTACAGGATGACTCCCAGGCACTCACTGAGTTTTTAGATAATTTGCTAATTTACAAGAATGGAATGATTTCGATGAATCGCATGAGTGACCTCAACTCGAGTTTTATACTAGAAGTAATAGCAAGACGTCTACCTACTCGACTGCAAAGGAAGTGGGTGAAGATGAGCTCCCGTATGGAGGATGAGGGTATCGAGCCAAAGTTTGATGATATCCTGAAACTGGTAAATACTAGTGTCAATCAATCTATGAGCAAGTTCGCCAGTCTGTTAGATCTCACCCATAGAATAGAGCAGTCTGAGGGTAAAACGCACTCATTGATGACGAGTAGGCCTCAGAGAGGTGGATATCGAGAAGGCTCGATGATGTCTAGTAATGCATATAGATCTAGTGAGTGTAACAGCTTTCGCAGTACATCCTCAACAGATAAGTTGCAAGCTGCAAGAGAAACACGGTTGTGTTTCACACGTGTGCAAGAGGTGCATACAAAGGTGAGCTGTGAACCAGTGAGCAAGTTCAGTGATAAGCTCAATGTAAACTCCAGGCCTGACTCCGAATTGTGTGACGATAACGGTGCGGTGAAGAAGTCTGTAGTTGCAACTGGTAAGCCGTTGTTGAATAGAGTGTCACAGAATAGAGTTACTGCTTCAGAGTGGAGTTCTGACTCCACAAGTTTACAAAGTATAACTAGTCAGAGTGAAGATATAAAACCTTTAATGATTTGTGAGGAGGAACCAAAATTGTCTACTTCTGTTATTAAAGAGTTTGAAAATGATAAAGTTGACGGTAAAGTGAATATTCGTGATAATGATCATGATAGTGCAGATTTGTCTTTGGTTGATCATTATGAGATGAGGGATGTGCCTACTACTGCTAAGTTAAATAAAGGTTCTGTACAACTACAACGTGAAGTAGAAATAAATGCAGATGCAGTTGCAGAAGGCATGCATACTTGTGAGACCGTCAGTGGGAGTGATCAGCATGTAGCCCACCTATCATCAGATGATAGTGCTAAACCCGAACTAGTAGTGAAAGACAGCAGTGGTGGTAATCTTGCAGTTGGACAACTATCTGAGAGCCGAACAAGAACAGCTTCTGATCCACCACTAAGTTCATCACCTTGTGTCACTCAGTCATCGTTGGTGCTGTCATCCACAATGAAACAGACACCCATCAACTCAAGTATCTTGTGCAATGACTATGGTAGTATCAGTTCGTTTGAAAGGACGAATATCAATGGTCAGTTTAGTGTGGATAAGCCAAGTGTAAAGGAGAGAGTTATTGTTAAATTGACTTGCACGAATAAAGGCATTTCTAGTTTCAAGTTACTATTTGAATGTTATTATCTTTGGTGTAAATTACTCTGTTTCTATACTTGGTTGATAAGATGTGTCGTGTGTTTGTTGGTCATCTATATTCTACGATACAATGACATGGGCGTGTTGCCGTTCAGATTTGAGGATATAGCTGATAGAAGGAAGTTAGCAAATGAACTCTGCGACGATTTTCCAACCTAGAGCGTCAACCTGAGAAGGGTTGTAGGCGTACTGCTGTAAGTCCTACAATTCTTCAAAGGGTAGCGCATCAATGAGCAGTCCAATGTGCTTGGTGTGTGATTTTGTACATATGTTCATATTGTATATACTGAATTGATATCATCTGTCATCTAGCTGTTGGTAATTCTGTTTGTGTCCGGACGACTTCCACTTGGATCATCAACCTGAGAAGGAATGTAGGCGTACTGCTGTAAGTCCTACAGTTCTTCAAGGGTAGTTTGTCGTGTCAGAATCCACAACATTTGATGTGTTGATTGTACATATGTTTGTGTTAAATAGTTGTGTGAGTTCCAATTGATGTAATTGTTGGTTAATCTTGTTTGTGTCTGGACATTCCACAACTTACAATCGTCAACCTGTGAAGGGTTGCAGGCGTACTGGTGTAAGTCCTCCAATTCTTCAAAATAATTCCACCAAGACATGATCCGCGAGGTTATTTGTACTGTTTGTGTATACGTGTGGTGTGTCTTCGCAATTTGTGATTTTGGATCAGTTGTGTTTACTCGTTGTTTTCGTGCCTTGTTTTTATTGCATAATTTTGTTAAAATTTTCGTCGTGATTATTTCTGAAGTTGTTTCTTGTCTTCTACATCCGTGAATGAATTGATTGATGTTAGAGACAGCAGATGGGTCGTATACGCCGGGGAGGCTAGGCTATTGCTGAGAATGAAACGCACACGGAGATAATTGTTAGCTGCGGTCCGACACGCCGGGGAGAAAGAGTGTAAACGACTGAGGCTCGCATGCGTCACCGCTACTAGAACTGAGGCAGAATGAGTGACAAGCGATTTCAATGGTAATTGGTAGTGAGTAATTAAGAGGATGTGCGTAGAGTATCGTGAGGTCCTGCCATGGTCACTTTGCATTCTGCAAGAGTCATTCTAGCAAACGGCGATTGTGTTGCAAGATGTCAAGAGGAGGTCTCTGTCTGGACGCGCAGGTCGTCATTGATGTGTGAGATTGTGCTGTGGGTATGCTTGTGGTGTGTTGGCTTTTCTGTTTGTTTTCCATTTCAGCTCTGTCCGTGTGACCCAGGTTCTCGCAATGGCATCCAAGTCAACGTGCATTGATCGTGAAGGAAAAAAGGGTTGGATCCCTTTTTTGCCGGGGAGTGTCAATGGAGTTGAAGATTGAACGATCAATTCTTGGTTGTTTGCTCAAAATCAACTTCTCCGATTTTCGCGGAGGCATCAATACGACAGTCATCGTCTCATCGGTCGCTGTTCAGAAAGAAGAGTGAAACATCGTCAGAATTTACCTTAGTTTGCTTAGTTCGCTTATTCCTTTTATATGTTGGTGTAACAATACAGAAATATCAAACGCCAGATCGGTGTTTTGGTTTTTGCGTCCGTTATAACTAAGCGTTTCTGAGAAATCTTCAAAGAACAGCGTGGGCCCGAGCGTAGCGAGAGCTGGGCATTAACGGTTTATGAGACGTGATTGACAGGAACTATTCTCGCTATTCCTTCCCACGAGTTTAGAACACCTTGAACCACATAGTAGGAGAATTCAAAAACCAGGTATAAACTATATTGTTGTGAAGTAGTGGTTCTCACACTGAGTCATCATGTTCTAGAACCTACTCCCGAAATAAGTGCTGTCAGCGCCTTAATTTGATTAATTTAAGAATTGTTTCGACAAGTAAAGAAATTTACTAGTGATAGGCTAACATAAGCTTCGTCTTATTACGTCAGTTAACAAATATGCACCGCTTACACTTCTCTTCGCTGCGATTTTACCGTTCCTGGAACTCCTTACCGACAGATTTAGCTATTGAAACGTCCGTGAATACTTCGACAGAAGGCTGGACAATCACGCAGCGACACAAGAAATGCGTCCAAATGGCCTATCCCTCTAAAATCCCATACATTATTCATGGGTAAACAACTAAATTCGTCGTTTTACTTCTCTACACTCTCCTCCGTTTCAGTCTCGTAACAACTTCAACTACTACACTTACATTTATAATCATAACTGATACTATATATATATATATATATAAATGTATATACATATATCAACCTCAATTTGAATTATTTTTTTTATTTTTCTTCATATCCTTTTCTGTCTTTTAGTCTGAATAACCTTCAATAATTTTTTTATTTTTGATTGCAGCTTGATTCCACACGTATTTTTGGTACATGTATGGAATACCTATCATTATCATCTCTCTTTTTGACGGCAAACCGAAGGACTAACTGATGAAAGTTTCAACTCCATTCATAATAGCAACAAAGTCTTAACACACCGCATACAACAAACAACATATAATTAATTCTAGCACGGCTCTTTTTGGAATCAACCAAAGCTACGACAGTTCGGTGGTCAGACGAACTAAGCAGAAGTTTACCAAAGATCAGTACCTTTCGCCTCACAATCAAGAAGTGAGCACAAATAAATCGAATTGGCTTACACTAGCTCGTAAAAACGATATTGGATATTGAATATACATAATTGACCGCGGACCATTCAACAAATGCGGTACATTTTCTCGCAATGACTGGTCTAATAACTCTTATTGCTGAAGATCAGCATTTCCAGGTGGGTTTCTTCTTTATTTTTATGCCGTAAAAATATGTACGTGTTTACATAATGTATCTTGACGCTTGAAATTACTCATGACTTACGGTCAGCGAATAACGCTTGACATGACTTAATTTAGAACTCTTCAAAGCTCTACCACCTACGTAAGTATTAAATATCGTCTTATTAGTATTTCAGTTCAGTGAGTTTGTCTCTTTACCTGCTTCGAAGGACACCTGTTTATCCACGCCTATTTTTCCTTAATTGTGAACCTCACTGTAGTTGCCTCTTTCAACTCATTCTACACTTATTTATAAATTTCGACCTTCCTGTCAAAGATAATGCCATAGTGCTTTCTTAAAAGGCCCATGACGCCACCAAACTATGCGCTGAATATGTTGTCTAGAAGGACGACGAAAACTCGATTGAATCAACCAGCTCAGAGAACAAAACTGAAGCAAATTCATCCCCCTGAGCTACAAATCTACCCTACTTTGCGTAGATTTCTGGTTAGTAGCCTGCCTACTTATTGTGTCCTTGTCGCTTCAAGGTGCTATTTTTGATTTTGTGAATTAACAGTGGATACACTAGTTATTCATTGAATTGAATTTTTGATTTTCCCGTCGATTGATTGGACCGAAGTGCTCGGTCTCAGGTTGTACACTAGTTATTCGTTTAAACGGACAGCTTAAAATCAAACTGTTTATATTAGTGATGAGACTAAAGTCATTTTGGTATACTTTTGGACTGGAAGCAGTTACGTTGGATTGAGCTACATTTCCATAGAAGTTGGACCAGAAATTCGTTAGCCTTAGTACCTTTTAGACAACAGATCCCGCCACACTGCTGCTTGCTTCACCACAGAGCAGTCTAAATGTCCAGGCGTAAGATGTGACTCATTTTCTGTGACTTAAGTAGCACATATACTGGAAAACCTAGTGGTACTACATTTGTAATTTTTGACATTGATTTTCCGTATTTAGGAATAATGATTGTCAAACGTCATAGCATTCTCTCAATCAACGCTTTTTGTTTGTTTCTCCAAGAGTCGACTCAGTCATGTATATGGAAATCAGGTATCAAATTAAGTTAATTAACGGCTTAACTTTTTGCAAAATTACCGTTTCGCGAAATTATTAGCTAATCAAAGATTGTTTTACAACACAACCCAAATAGGAAGCTTATTATCGTATGTTTAGGTCTTTGTTTTCATTTGCAAGCTCAAACTTAAGTTTCTGCGTTTTTTGTGGTGACGCCATAAGTCAAAAAATAGCGTTTCAGATGCAAAACACTCAGAGTTTTTTGGCGGGAGTGGGAAGTAGTGGATGCTTTCGGAAAATTGTAGTTTCTTCCAGGTTGTATAGTTTATCTAGTACCTAGTTTTCCTTTAATGTGCTCATCAGAAAAATTGGCGATCAAACATATACGACTACTTGGAAAGCCACACACCATCCTAGCACTCCATTAGAGATTTGGTGTAAAACTGCTGTTTCAGGCTCCGCTGCCTTGCGTATTAGACTCCAAGTCAAAGGCTCGGGGGTGGTCCCTTAATAAAACCACCTGCTTCGGTCTGGGCGCCCGGGTAGTATCTCAGCCCTCACACAATGAATTGAATGAAGCAACAAACAATCGATGAAACTTATCACGTGTTATTACACGCGTTGCAATTTCCTTTTTTTTCCCTTCCCGATGATAGTTAACGAAAACTGTTTAAACTTGTTAAGCATGACTGTTTTCCTTCCAGATGAAGTTCTTTATCCGTTCTCTACTTATATATATTTTTCTCTTCTTTCTTTTTTTGATCTATGTTGTTTTATTATTATTGTGTGGCGCATCCGTCTTGGTGCCATATTGTACCAAGTTTTCATGCGTTTAAATAAATAAGTAAATAATACTGTTTCAGGCTGTTGCGACTCACTCATAAACTTCATGAAAGCTAAATGACTGCTTATTTAAAATGCCTGTAAAGTTAGTGTAACAAAAATGACTTCTCACTTACGACTGGGTAAAATTCATAAGAAGAAAAATATACCTCATCTGTTAATGGATTTATTTCTAATGGTGTCTCCAAGCTTAGTGATGGAATTCATTTTGACTTCTTCGGATTTTCCTTTTACCTTACACAAATATGAAAGTAAACGTGACTGACCGGTTTCAATGTGGAACTTTGCACCGATGTGCAGCAGTTCAACTTGCCACAGCCTCTTTGCAGCACACAAAGCAAGAGAAAAGAGTAAGGAGATATTCAAAAGAGCGATGATAAACAGAGATATGAGGTTAAAAGAATGGTAATATCGAAGAACAGTGAAATTTGATGCGATATTATAAACCACATAGAGTGAATGCATCTGCGCCATTGAGGACGATTCTGAATCATGTCACTCATTGCCTCCAGCCATTGGTTTTTACCATCTCGATGACCCCAACCAGTCAGAAAGTCTGCATCTTCCTACGTGGCTTAAACCAACTGTTGTGGATTTCATTGACTGATGCCATGTTTTGGTTTGACCACCGCTAGCTCTTTTCCAACCTGACCCTATATCAGCTAACATTGCCCGTCGGTCGAGGAAGGTGATGGCTAGGCATACGTATCACATTTCCTGACCATCTGAGTCAATGTAAATTCACAACCCTATCGATTGATTTCTCCTCTTTACCTAGCACTCGATACCTAACCTCAATATTGCTCACTTTATTATACCGCTTAACATGGGAGATAGAATGCAAGCACCCATGATCAAAGATAGCTAGCTTTTTCATGTCTTCCACTCTCAATGGCCAGGTCTCACAGCCATAAAAGAGAATGGAGCGGATTGCTGAGTAGTACACAGATCCTTTGGTCGACAGATGGATATCACATCTACTACGCCAGAGATGGCATAAGCTGGCGAATGCGAAACTAGCCTTCTGTATCCGTGCTGAGATTTCGTCAGCGATCAACCCGTTGGCACTGGCTGATGCAACTCCCCAAATAAGTGAAGTGGTCAGCACGTTCTACCGCTTCATTCCCTATCTTTAAGCTAGGCATGAGTTAATGTAGTCCAGACCTGCAGCACCATCTTGCATTTGACAGGAGCGAATTGCATGCAAAACATTCGAAGATTCCTGTTGAAGGTGTTCAGAAGACTCTACATTTTGTCAACGTCTTCGCCTAGGAACAGGACTACATTATCCGCATATTCTAAGTCAACAAGATTATTCCCTAGTAGAAAATCAACCCCTGAGTCGTTGAGGTCAGTCAAGGTTAAGTCCATCAGTACCTCTATGATGAAATTAAACAGAAATGTGCAGTGGGCACCCTTGACGGACACCACTGGTTGTGACCACTTCAGACGACAACTCGCCGTAGGCTGTCACCTGACTGGCTGCATGAGTTTGAGTAGAGTGCCTTGATCAGTGCGATGTATTTTTTCGGCATTGCCTTCACAGCCAATCATTGCCATAGTAGCTCACGGTCGACAGAATCAAAAGCTGCTTCCAGGTCAAGAAATATGGCAATTGTTGGGTACCGGTAAGTATGCCTATGTTCCAGAATCTGTCGAAGGGTGAAAATATGATCGCTTAACACTCTTCCTGGTCTAAAGCCTGCTTCGTTCTCTCGTACTTATGGAAATAAATGTGAATAGACCGTTGCTAATGAAGTCTATAACTATTGTGAAGTCTTGAAAACTATTAAATCACGAATGTGTTGGCATAAGTGGTCGAAATTGCTTGCAGTATCACCCATTTGTGATTTTATGATGGAAACCAAATCAGTATAAGAAATTATTAATGATAGGCGGGTAAACAAAAACTACTGAAACTTGATGCGATGGGGTTATTGTTACAAGCTGTTGGATTTCATACTCACTTTTTGAGAACTCATTTGCCATTATTTTAATTTCATTTGATTTGCGACTTAACTACTATGCTATTTCATCTGAAAACTAAAGTCTCCCTATCAAGGCATATACTCACAGGAATGTTTATTTTTATTGTATGTATTAATTTGACTCAATTCGATGATATTAACAGTCTAATCAGTTGGGTTTTTTTTCTATATTGTAGGTACCCCGTGATGTATTAACTAGATCAAGTTTGTACTTTCATGCTGCTTTTGAAAGTGGTATGGCTGAAAGCAAAACTAAACAATTCAGTTTTCCTAATTTTACTGCTCATCAGTTGGCCATGGTTGTTCATTTTTCACGATATGAATATACAATCTGGGGTGATGCTTTAGATATGCAGAATAATAATTCAGATTACTGTTCTAATTGTCCAGAAAAGTTCAAAATTTTAGAAGCACTGGATTTAACAGACGCAGCAGATTATTTTCAAATGCCTAAACTTATTCAAATGTGTGTACAAAGACTATCTTATATTATGGATAATTTGTTTCAACCGAAATCTATTCATTTGCATGAGTCACATGGTTGTGACATATTTTCTACTATATTAAAAGAGCTTGTTAAAGTTTCTCATTGTGGAAATGCTTCTGTTAATAAACTATTTTCGGAATACACCAGTAAATATCCTCATTTCCTCCTCAGACCATGTCTTTCAGAATCGAATTTACAGTTAGATCTTATTAATCTTGTTGTTAACTACTTATCAAAAAATATTGTATGCATACCAAATGAAGATGTTGTTCTAGACATTGTCCTCGGCTGGTTACAGACATTAAAGTCGACTGAATTTTATAATGAAAATATTGTTCATTCGTTTTTACACTGTATTCGTCCAGGTCTTCTTTCTGTACAAGGACAAAGTAAGTTATTGGAGTACTGGCATAAATACCATGCTGAATTTAAATGGTACGGGAAGTTGACATATGATGATATGAAAACATTCTTTAAAAGTATTCCACATGGAGGAATGTTTTCTAAGCCTTCATCACCTCTTTCGCAAATACAGCTGTCTCTATTAAAACCCAGAGCTGAATCTTTATGCTTGCTGGGATTGGCGCCAAACAGTTCGAACAATTTAGAATTTTGGATTTTCAACCTTCATAATGGAACCTATCATAATTGTCCTTTACCCGCTCATTGTCTCCGTGAATTAGATCTTGATTCATCTGGTTTAGGTGATATAGACCGTCGCATTTACTTTTGCCCACTAACTTACGGGCCTAGTACTTACCAAAATAGCTTGTTTGTTGTATGTTTTGATCCAAATAGTGGAGCTTTGAATGGATTTGCTTGGTGTCTAGCTACTTGCCGTGCGAAATCTATTCCCCGCCTCTTCCTATCTCCTTCAAATAACAGAAATAATTCACTAAGCTTCTTTTCTTTCCGATCTAGACGTATCGGATTAACTACGTTATCTAGTGGTCTCTATATGTATTATGTATTATCCCTACAAGAAGTCGCGTGGTTATGTGCTTTTCGTTTCGATCTAAATACATGGGAATGGTATGAAATGGAACCTTATTGTTTATCTAAAAGCCAAAATGGAATTTTGCTATTTACTCCAATCGAACAATTGAGTCCTGTCGCTCCTGATGGCTGGCTTTATGCAAATATTGAGACAGTTTCCTCTTCAAATAACTCCAGACATCCACGCCATGGACTTCATCAAACTTCATCTCTCCGATCACAGCTGTTTCGATTTCGCCCACAACCCGACAAAAAACTGTTAGTTGTGGAGTATTTACCGAATCCTCCTTTCCTGATAAGGATGTATCGTCTGTTTGCTATCACTTGCTCTTCAAATGGCGATTGTTGTGGTGAGTTATAACAGTTTTAGTTTAGTGTAAATTATGGTCAGTTTATATTGTGAATAATTCATCATTTGGTGGATTTTTGCTAACAATAGAATCGAGGATGCGCATGTGCTGATATTCCCATGGTGATTCAAACCCAGTATGCATCGTTCCAAACGCTAAGACGTTTGACCAGTCGGGTCACGGTGACCACCTCTTGTGCGACAGGTGTCAGTTATCACCTGTTTTTAATCAGATTTATATTTCCCCTTTGATTGACTAGACCAAAATGTTTGGTGTCTGTTGACACTACTTCAAGTTAATCCAAAGGCGTCGTTGAGTCGTCTGCACTAGGAACCGAACATGTCAAAAGAGGTAGAACATTTCGCTGCAATCAGTCATCGGAAAAATCGCAATTCAATTGAAAATTAATCATTTATTATTATTATTCCCTTGAGCCCCGACTGGAACATATGCAGAACAGAACATTATTTCATTTCATTCCCTGTAGTCCCTTCTTGATTGCCCACTAGCTTTCATTTCCTCCTCACATGATCTCTCCCCATTCGGCTTCCACTCTTGGATCTGCCTAGTAAGTGATATCACTCCTCAGCGTGTGTTCACTTAATCTCCATTTCCTCTGACAAAATTTTTGTGCAATAGTGATATGTATCCACATGATGTGTGTTTCGTTTTTGACAGTCTGTTATATTTTGCTATATGTATATGGATCGATATTCCATTATAACTGACATTATGCTTTTGTCTGTCCATTAACTAAATAAATAATGTATGACCTTATTATCACATGACATTACAACCAATCATAGTAAGACGTTATCTTATTGGTTCATGTGTATTAGCCATTTTCACATATACTCTTGCTTTATTATTCTTGTTCCCACGTTTCGTACATCTAAGTACCCTTTCACTCACACACTTGTGTGACATTTATTTTCCTTGTCTGGAAAATACAAGTATCATCGTAAACCTGATGGTCTTCTGATTTCCCTCTTTCCGCGTCAGGACTATTAACTACTCGACGAGTACATAACATAACTGGCGACGGGAAAAACTCTAATAACTCACTCAGCAGCAGTACACAACAAATAGGTTTTAAGTTGGCTCGTTTCCAGAGTTCCTTTCTGTCTAGTCATCTGATCTTCATCGTGTAACGGGAGTAGCAATTGATGAAAGCTGTCAATCTCTTTGAAATGCTTTTGTTGACTCATCAAGTCTCTGAATCCTATAGAAGCACTGACTTCATATTAGTGCTGAAAATCAGAGCATTTTTCGTTGCACTGACTCCAGTAGGTTTTCATACTGATTTCCTTTCACATAGATTCTATTTAAGCGCGAAAACTGTTTTATACAGAAATTTGGGGAGAATGTTCTTACTAACATAAAGAATTTCATATAATATTATGCTACTTGAATTAATCAGTATGGAATCTTCACATAATAATCTACGCAGTGCTAAGCATAACCTTTGTATTCCTTGTTTCTCTTCATTTTAGACAAGACCTACTTATTCCCTATGGGAACGTGTTCTCGTGATTTAGCGGCTACACATTATTGCTTTGATACATCATCTTGTCAGTGGTTACGATGGTCACCTGTTCAGACACCACCAAGCAGTAATAATGAGTTGGAGGCTGTTAATCAACCACCATTGGAAAATACTGGATTAGTATTTAATCTATGCCCAAAAATCCTTGGCTTTCGTGGACTTGTCTGTGCTACACACCTTTTGAATGAATCTGTAGGAGAAAATGATTCATTGCTTCTTAAATCATCACCATATCCTTCTGCATCAAGCTATATCACAAACTCTGCTTCATTTGATGAATCCCCTAGTCTCTCTCGCTCTTCATCTGCAAAAGATGATGACGGTGATGATGATGATGATGATGAAATGAAAAATGCTGAAATCGTGTCTAGTGTAAATGAAAACAGATTGACAACAATGTTAGTTTTAGCCGGTAGACCAGATCAAAATAAACAAGTCTCCTGTGGGATATGGTTTCATCATCCTAAACAATATTTCAATCATAATAATAATAATAATAATGGTAATAATACTGATGACGATAATGCTGAAACAATTAAATTATTCAATGCTCAAAAACCAAATTATTTTCTACCAACTGCAGTTGTTCAAACAATAAGTCAGTATTTTTCACCAGCGGCTGTTGTCTTAGCTAACTGGACGCATATTATACAATCTGTAAATCCGATTAACTTTTTCAACGATTATTCATTGGAAAGACAATCGTCATCAGAAGAAGGAGAAGGAAAAACGAAAAACGGTATAAATTATAAGTCAAGTAGACTTCCATATAATAATAATGATAATAATCAAATGATTAGTGAAAATTATGGTTGTTCATGGGATAGTGATTAAACAGCCTTTAAAAGTCAATCTGAAGGAAGAATATTCTTTTCATTAATTTCTCTTCAGGTTCTTACAATTATAAAATATATAATTTTTGTGGTCGTCGTAATTTATGCCCTTTATGTAAACATTCCCTCAATACTATCGAATTTTCATTTATAAGGGCTTATTATTAGTGATATTATCTATTTTCTCAATATATGCCTCTATCTGTTTCATTTAACATATTCGTTATCTCACTATGAACCTCGCATTCCAGCCTTACTATCTCCTGTTTAATTCAGACCACTTTCTACTAGCCACTCCACTCACCTGACACCTTCGATAACCTTGAACTGACTCGTCAATTTTCCTACCCCACACTCTACAATTCTATTATGATTAATCACCGCCATCCTCTCCCGTTTTACAATATTTCCTAATCGATTTCAGCCAACTAGCACGTTTGTCACACAAATATGACTATTGATTTTGACACCCCATAACGAATCTGTTATTTTGTACATTAAAAATGTATCCACCGCATAACTGGGCTTTATTGTAACGACCACAAATATTATAATATTTTATAATTGTAAGAACCTGAAGAGGAGAAATTATTAGAAAGGAATATTCTTCGTTCAGATTGACTTTTAATTCAATAGAATGGGAATATTTCACACTATCAAATCTTAAACAACCTTTCCTTTTCTTTTATTAAGAGAAATCAGTTCACACTAAAAAGAATGAAAGAAGTGGACAGAATGCATTTATATATACATATAACACTTTTTATCAGTGCAGTTCACATGTATATAACTTAATTTAAAGAGATTAACTTCTATATGTGTATATATATACAGATGTAGACAAGATAAGTTTATTTCACAAAATATATATAACCAATTACAGTATTATAGTGATTAATATTTCCATTACTAACTGGATAATGTTCAACATGATTATCTGGAGAGTAAATCTAAATCGTGTTATTATTTACAAACTACTGCTAGATGATGATGCCCAGATCTTTACTTACTCTTACCTTTTTTAAAAAAACGACAGTGATTCATTGACACAGATTTTTTTATATTTATTCTTCATTGCATTTATTTTATACTCTTGTTCAAACTACTTATAAATTTGAAGAAAAAACGAACAAAAACAACAACGACATTTGATTCGTTATTTTCTCCTTGGGGTGTATGTGTTACATTTTTTATTATTTTTTTTTTTGCGTTTTATTAATCTGTGCCTTTCTTTGTACAAGAAAAATATTTCTTTGAGTGAATGTTCTACAATGTGATTACCACCTTCATTGCTTTTTGTTTTTTTTATTTTGTAGTATTTATTACATACAGTTAACTGCCATCATGATTGAGTTTGCTTATTTTGTTAAGTATAGTCATTTATTCATTCATTTGTTCATCCCTTCATCCTATTTTGTAATGTCTGTCGTGTCATTTCATTAGAGAGAACTTGATGATATCTGTGAGCACTTTAGTTTTCTATATATATATATATATATATATATATATATATATATATCCACATCTATATATCTATTGATCTATGCATTCATTAATGACTATTAGAGTTTCCTTGTATTAATAAAAGAAATAACTGATTCCGATTAGTAACTTACCTCCATTAACGATAAAGTAGACGATATCATGAATTGACTGATATCAGTTAAAGAAGCATTGAAAACCACAAAGTGTGATCCTAGCCTTAAGATAGGGAGTGAAGTGATAGAGCATGTTGACTACTTCACTTATTTTGGTACGAAATTGTATTAACATCCAAATGAACTGACGAAATTTCAACAGGAGGATGCAAAAGATGCATGGCTAGTATTTATCATTTTCGCTGGTGTGGATGTGATATCTTGCTATCGATCAAAGGATGGTGTGTCCTCTGCAACAATTCGTAATGTCATTTTTTATAGCTTTGAGCTATAAGCCTTTGAAAGTGAAAGATATGAGAAGGCTAGCTGTCTTTGACCTCAGATGTTTGCGTGCTATTCCCTGTGTTAAGTAATACAAAATGGTGAGCAGTATTGAGGTTTGGTAAGCTGGGTAGGTTAATCAATGGCTAGGGCATGTGTTGCTCCTGCCGAACCATCGCCTTCTTCGACATGTTTGGGTTGGAAAAGAGTTAGGAATAGTCAATTCAAAGCATGACATCAATCTATCAAGACTTCGCAAGTTATTTTGAGCCACATACAGAGGAGTAGACTACCTAGTTGGGGTTTCTGGTATGCCAAGAATCAATGGCTGGAAAAATTATTCTCAGTGGGGAAGATACACTCACTCTTTGTGATGCTCCATATCCACTTAGCCGTCACGTTTTTCGGTGTTACTATTAATAGAGTCCTTTTGAATCAATTATTTTCTTTCACTCCTCCACCTTTGTGTGCTACATGAAATGCTACAGCTTGAAGCGCTGTACTTTTTGATTAAAGTTTTGCGTTGAAACTCAGTCAGTCATCAGTTAGAGAACCATTGAAAACCAAAGAGTACTGAACAGCTTAAGCTAGAATTCATGGGCTATCGGATTCTGACACGTCTACTGGATGATCAGTGGACCCTCCTCGTAACCTTAGTATCCTACCTTCGATACCCAATGAGGTCGTACTGTTGAGGGTTCT